ACAGGTATGCCTTCAGTTTAACTGATTGGCTAATTAATCCTATTGTTTGTTTGAAAGTCACAAATGGTTCAGGAAGGCTTCATTGAGAATTTAACTGACTGTAGTGTTGTTCTTGATCTATGGGGTTATTTAAGTTGTAATCAATGCATGCTCCATGACTTTGCGTGCTAGTGGGTTTGACAAATGGGAAGGTTTTGTGGATCTGAATAGTGATTTATAAAGAAACTGCAATAGTGGACAGAAGCTCGACACGGGTATAGTGTCGACACGTTCTTTTGGCATCAACACCATATGGTCAACATCCAAAACTCCGACACAGACGTGGTGTTGACACGTATTTTGGGTGTCGACACTATATGGCAGGCGTCCAAAACATTTAATTTGATACTTGTCAAGTATGATGTATGGGTTTGGGGTACCCCTTGTACTCCGGTTATTAATAAATATTAATTTTTGCTGTTAAAAAAAAAAAAACTAGCAAGTTTATATTACAATTATTTTTTTCTTTGCTTGGTTTTGCTTTTGCAAGTGCGCCTTTGGTTTTTTTCTTTTCTTTTTTCTGTATTGAAGCAAATTTATATTACAATTATTTTTTTTCTTTGTTCAGTTCTGCTTCTACGAGTGCGCCTCTGTTTTTTTTTTGTATTGAAGCAAGTTTATATTACAATTATTTTTTTTTCTTTGCTTGGTTTTGCTTCTGCAAGTGAAATGCAACTGTAAAAAGAAATTAAAACTTATACTAGGGGACAAGCAAAAAGAAATGCAAGTGCAGCCTTGACCTCTCAAATTTCAGCACTAACCTTTAGAACTCTAGCCACAACTTCTAGTGTTGATGCAGTTTATGCTACTAGAATTAATGAAGAGGCTCATGCTTTAGATCTTGACAAGTCAGAGGAGGAAGAAGAGAAGTTTGAGCCTGGTGGAACAAGTCAAAAAGATAAGGATGATGATTATGATTTAGTGGCTAAGTAAGAGGAATTAGAAGCAGAAGAGAGTGATGAGAACTATTAAACTCTTGAATGATTTTCTGTTTTAAAGTTTTATTATTTGATTTTTTTTTGAACTAATCTTGTTTGACTTTTGTACTCTTCAGTATTTTATTATTTTGTTTGATTATTATAAACTATAATTTTTATTTGTTGTGACTTGAGAATATTGATTTTTATAATTTTTGATAATTTTTATAAACTCTTAGGTCATTTTATACATTTTATTACTAGATTTGTTTCTTATTTTAATTATTAGATTTATATTTATATTTTTTTACAAAATACCCGCTATTTGTCTATATTGGCCACTACGCTACCCGCTACACTATCACAGCGGATTTCGGTCTTTCCGCTATTTGCCGCTATCCACTATTGATAACATTGTCTAGGGGACGAGCACCAACCTGCAATTACCACATAATAGAGTAAACAAGAAGAAGGTATTTTTTTTTCAAAGACTTAAGAGAGAGAGAAATGAGAGGTACAGAAGCAAGCCACAGAGAGTCAGACCAACTAAGATACCCCAGAAACAACTTGGAACAACACAGACACATGCAGCATAGGACCACAACTGCTAGATTCAGCTGCTTAGGAATGAAATAGATGTTCCATACCAGTCATACCATCCATTAGAACATATAGCATAACAGTCATGGCATCTCTGCATCTCATATTATATTTTATAATTTTTTACCTCAGTCTTTGATATAAAGATTTTGAAATAAGATATCACCTTAATTAGCAATTTTACTTGGACTAAGATTAAGTATCTAACACGTATATGGGTATGACACAAAGACTTCAAACTTTCTGCAGACATGAGGCACCTCCACTAAAATATTTAATTTCACAAAAGAGAGAGCATGCACCCATCTCTCTAGTAATGTGATAAAGCAGGGATACAACTCCACAGCCTGCTGAGATAAATTACTACTTACACTATCAACAACTATTACATCTACAGATCCACTTTTGGTCAGTGCATCAACAACGCACAGCAAATTTTCAGCAGAATCAGGTTTTGCAATGAGAAGATCATCTGTGTTTACACCCATTGATTCTGCAAGGAAAGGATCCATTGCATTCTCTGCATCAAGGTAAGCACAATATCCTGCCAAAGGAAGTGTTTGAGACAACGATGGCCTTAAACCAATAGAAATAATAAAAAGACATACAGAACACCTAGTCAATGTCTAATTTTCCATAACTGTCTAACAAAAACAAGTTGCAACAACAGAATTTTCCGTAACTTTCAAGCTTTCTACTTAACATTGTTTCCTGACTGTATTCTTTGAAGATAAATTCATGAACTAGGTGACATGCCTGAACTAGTTTATGAAATTGAAAGGTAGAAAGGTTTGCACCAGAGTAATGTACACCATACCCAAAAAAAAAAAAAAAAAATAATAATAATAATAATAATAACAATAATAATAATAATAAAAGAACCTGCCATGTTTAGTGAAATATTAGGCTTCACCTCCAAGCTTTTGAGCTTCCTTAATAATATGAAGTGCAAGAGTTGTCTTGCCGGATGCTTCTCGTCCATAAATTTCAACCATTCTTCCCTGCAATA